CTCTGAATGGCGGAATTCTCAGACCCGTAGCTCTTCTGACCTTTGAAAAATAGTTGATTATTCAGGACTGTGTCCAATTGTGAACTTTGGTGTAAGCCACACTAAGAGTTTTGTTTCTTTTACGAAAGAGTTAGTATGTATTTGCTTTGTATCTGAAGTTCCTGTCACAGTTGTTGTTTTCATCAACAGAAAACGCGAACAAACTCATTCACCGGAACACCCTCATACATGGCTCCGGAGATAATCGCAGATAAAGGCCACAGCTTTGTAAGTATCTTTTACTTTAATATCGTGAAAATAATAATTTTACTGTTTCATGCAAACTAATAAGACATCACATAATAATCCGAGGGTTTGGAGAGAAATCAAAACTCCATAGAGTTCATATATATCAGTCAGTATACATTACAGGAGGCAGAATCATTTAAATTAATTTCGTCATCACCTCTCTGAGGTCTAGTGTGATGATGAATATTTATCAGAACCCCGGTACCTATTAGACAGGAGGCTGGGTGGGCCCCATAGCTAGACTAGAGGAAAAATCCTCTGCCCCATTGGGGACCGAACCCCAGATATTCAGCCCATAGCTGGCTCACCTTTGGCCCTCATCTACCCCCAAAAAAGAAAGCAGGTTTAAGTGCTTATTTTTGTCTCAATATTCCTAAGAACAAAAGAAAATTATAATATCCATCACCAAATTGTTTCATATAAACGTGGATGCTAGAAATGAACAAATTTTATTTCTGGAGTCCCTTGTACAAATTTGTAAGAAATTAAAATGATTTATTGTAGCTGTTGCCCCTAATTTGAAATGTTGCAGGAAGTCGACTGGTGGAGTTTGGGCATAATGACTTATGAACTGCTCGCTGGGTACCAGCCCTTCGTTGACGGTGCAAAAAGTATAGAGCAACTTTATAAGTAAGTCCTTAGCATTCGTAAAGATATCTGACATATGTAAGATTTGAGGTTTTCGCAGCGGCGAGTATGAAGATTTCTGTCTTCTGGGTTGTTGCGCTGTGTAGTCTGATCGATGTTAACCAACGTTTCAGAGGTCATACGGCCTCCATCATCAGGGCGATGAAGATTTCTGTCTTCTGGGTTGTTGCGCTGTGTAGTCTGATCGATGTTAACCAACGTTTCAGAGGTCATACTGCCTCCGTCATCAGGGCGATGAATCGCAACAACCCAGAAGACAGAAATCTTCTATCTGACATATGTTCCCTGTAGACATAACGTTCCTTTAAACAGAGTTCTATATCGAATGATTTGTGGCTAACACTGGACTGTCTATTGCAACGTTAGTAAAGTAGATGCATGCATTTAAAACCCGTGGAGAATCGATCTTAGAAAAACAAATTAAATCCACATTGATTAAGGAATCAAATATGTGAAGGACATCGATTTGACGTGAGGAACAGAGAAGGAAAAGGTTCCAAAAGCAGATAAATATATGTTTAACATTGACCAAGTTTGGAGAACTCAATGCAAGTTAAACACTGACCAGGACAGAATTCTGATAATGCATTATAAACACTATTTGAATGCATATTTAATAATTATTTTTTAGTGACAAATACAAGAATGGACATTTCTTTTACAGCTTCATTTTGGAAGATACACCAAAAATACCAGCAACATTTTCACCGGAAGTGGCTGATTTGATTAACAGATTTTTGGACAAAGATCCAAGTACTCGTTTAGGATCAGGGATAAATGGTCCTGCAGCCATCAAGAAGCATCCATTTTTCAATGTAAGTTCTTTTTCTGGTCCGAGGCTTGGTTAATGTGTTCGTAACAATGATTTTCTTTTAAAGGCGTGTAGGAGACTGGATTTTGTTGGCCCAGGACAGGGTCCGGTGGAGGGCTTTGGTTAATTCGGTGATGAACCTTCGGGTTCCCTAAGCCATCTAGTTGGTTGGGTCCACT